AGCAAGCTAAACTACTGGGCCAAAGGTTTGGCATGTTTTTAATTCAAAATGACCCCTAGAAAAGCGGGGCCTTATTGTGCTTTTACCACTAGAGTGTGAGGCTTCCCAGATGCAATATCAGGGTGAGGGTGAGAAGAAACAAACAAGAACAACCACATCTTGTGAAAAACATTACTAAACTTACTATTATAAAATATTTTGTAACTTCTGTAATATGGATAATTTTCCTAATCTTAGTACCAAAATATCAGAAAATTGTTACCTGCTATATTAAGTGTGTGGTGGCCACAAACACATAAATTTCAGTGGCAAGTGTTAGGGTAAATGTTTAAAATTCATAAGAAAAATAACATTCTACTAAGTAGACGATCTTGTATAAATCTCAGTTTGTGACAATATAGATTTGATAGTTCTTTGGAAATTTGCCTTTGGCTAAGAAGTTAGATCTTATGTTTTTGGTGGTGAGTATGAAAAATAAATTCCAACAAGTATTATCTAAAGTTGGAGAGATAGTTTTTTCTTCAAATTATGATACATTCCTTTAAAATATTTTATAGTTGGAAGGATAAATGAAGTTGGTAGTGATTTTTTAGAACACCCAGGTATAAATAAAGGACACTCAAATACAGTTAATGTATACCTTCACATGCTTCTTATATTTTGGAAGTGATTTGTGTTCTAAGAGATTAAATTACTTTAAGAATACAAAATTGTAATAAAAGGTTTCATGGATCACTTTATCTTACCTGGATCAAGGATATTTGTTTAGAAAAGCAATGAAGGCAGGTACAAGGGACATAAGGTAAAAGCACTATTGCTGCCTAGGATGGAAGCAACATCTGTAGCAACAGATGGGGAAGCTGCTACAGAAATCCTCCATACAATTCATATCTTGTCTTGAGCTGTGGATATAGATGGGACATGGTTACTGATAAATCTATCCAGAAACCCCAGAAGAAAGAATGATTTTATATTTTAGTTCTCAGAATGGAGACTAATTGATCTTCCATGAGTTATGTGTTTACTCATCGGATAAGGCACTTGGGGTTAGAAAATGTGGTAATAATAATGCACATAACTTTATGAAGACCCAGACATCTCCTAAGAAACAGTTACCACAATGTACAACAACATGTAACATGTTGGGAATTTCTTAGCTCAAGTCAGCAGAGAAAGTTCAAAATAACAGAGGAGAGTAATGAAGATAGTCTATTTTTGATGAAGAGAGTAAGACTTGAATGAGCAGCATGAAAATTTAATGGTATGGCACATTTTAACATGTATGGTTAGGTAAAATTGAGGTCTTGAGTACCAACAGGAATTATCAGTAACCATGTTTCATACCATGGGAACACCGAGAGACAAACCCCCAAATTCCTGAGCCAGTGTGTATTTGAATTGAATTTCCAGTTCTAGTTCTATGGTTCTTGTCTGTAGGTTTTTATTTTTATTTTTTTTAAATTTAGAAATTTTTAAAATATATTTACAAATATATAAACTAGTAATTATATTGTTTTGTTCAACTTATTATAAGTTTGTTTTCTGTCCTGAATAATAAACACATGAATATAAAAACTAACAAATTTGATTTAGAAAGTAATGTTTAGGCAGTTAGATAATGAGAACATAACATTTTAATTAATTTTTATCTTCTGTTTGTAGAGATTTAGCAAATTAAGAAAAATGGCATACTGCATTAAATTTAGTATCTTTTTGAATTCTGTGTCCATGCATTTGTATGGGATTTGTGCACAGACCTGACAATTATTAATCATTATGCTTATGAATAAACTAGAGGCTCAGTGCACAAAAATTTGTGCACTTGGGGGGGTGTCCCTTAGCCCGGCCTGTGCCCTCTCGCAGTCTGGGATGCCTTGGGGGATGATCACCTGCTGGCTTAGGCCTGATCCCTGGGGGAACGGGCCTAAGCTGGCAGTCAGACATCCCTCTGGCAGCCCAGGAGCCCTCGGGGGATGTACACTTGCCAGTGAGGAGCAGGCCTAAGCTGCAGTCGGACATCCTTAGTGCTGTTGAGAAGGTGGGAGAGGCTCCCACCACCACCGCTGTACTGGCAGCCATCAGCCTGGCTTGTGGCTGAGCAGAGCTCCTGCTGTGGGAGCACACTGACCACCAGGGGGAAACTCCTGCATTGAGCATCTGCCCCCTGGTGGTCAGTGTGTGTCATAGTGACCAGTCATTCCGCTGTTAGGGTCAATGTGCATATTACCCTTTTATTATATAGGAGTGTGTGGTCAGCCTGGGTGAGGGGCTGATGGCTGTTTGCAGGCTGGCCACGACCCCCAGCCACCCAAGCTGCCAGTGGAGGCTGGCTGGAAGCAGGTATCTGGAATTTATTTATCTTTTATAATTAAAACTTTGTTGCCTTGAGTGGAGGCTACAGCCGGCCAAGGCATGCACAAAGCTTGGCTTCCATCGCCGGGGCAACCAAGCCTCCTGCTTACTCCAGCTCCCTGGCTGCTGGCCGCCATCTTGGTTGGGTTAATTTGCATATAGTCGCTCTGATTGGCTGGTGGGTGTGGCTTGTGGACATGTCTTGTGAGTGTAGTGGAGGTAGGGTCAATTTGCATGTTTCTCTTTTATTAGATAAGATCAGCCAATACTTATTATTTTTTTCTTCTGTGGTTAAAAAAAGTCTTTAAGTTAGAAATCTTTAAAAAGACCTCAACCTTTCAACCTCATTTATTGTCCTGAATTATGATTTTCAAATTCCAGCTCTGGAATGCCTGGCTCATCATCAAATGAAAACCCTGAAGAGGGCTAACAGAATAAATATATTTTCCATTTGTCTATTTAATTACCTCATGAGCTTCTAGGGCAGTGGTTCTCAACCTTCTTAATGCCACAACCCTTGAATACAGTTCCTCATGTTGTGGTGACCCCCAACCATAAAATTATTTTTGTTGCTACTTCATAACTGTAATTTTGCTACTGTTATGAATCGTAATGTAAATATCTGATATGCAGGATGTATTTTCATTGTTACAAATTGAACATAATTAAAGCATAGTGACTAATCACAAAAACAATATTTAATTATATATGTGTTTTCCGATTGTCTTAGGCGACCTCTGTGAAAGGGTTGTTCAACCCCCAAAGGGGTCGTGACCCACAGGTTGAGAACCGCTGTTCTAGGGTAACTTGACCAACATTCTATGTGTTTCTATTATAACCATCTGTGTTAATGATAGTTTAGTATTTTCTACCATTACCATCTTATGTCCACCTCCTCTGAATCATTTTGAGATCACAGCCACACCCCATCCAATTGACATTAAAGTCCCAGGATTTGTTATATGAGTACTGAATTGGTACAACATTTTATTTCCTGGCTGGGTCTCTAAATACTAGATATTAATCTTACCACTGGCCCAGACTAGAAAGCATTCTGGAAAAACAAGGCTATCAAACACTTCTTCTCCAAGCAATATTATCAAAATTTTATGTTTTATTTCCTTACCCAAATTGCTTCTCAGCTACCCAAAAAGTTTCCAGGTCCTGTAGTGCTACTTTAGAATTGAACCTCTGATCCAAGCTGGGTAAGTATAGGCAAGACTGATATCTTTAGTTTGGCCCTCCTTAGTTTTATAATTTCCCAATGACTGATTTCCAATGCATGATATAATTTTATTACACAATCACTAATCATTTTCTTATGAGTATACATTCTATTTCTTAAATGCTCTTATATCAACTAGTCCAAGCAAGAATGACACTTATTGAGATCTGGGTAGATCAATCTGATACCTTCATCATTCTCAACAAACAAATATTTTTCTTCCCTCTTTTGCCATGCAATGGACTCTAATATTACTTCAGTTTCAGTTCAGAGCTCTCTGTGGTTACTCCTATGTCCAACTCAATCATAGAAAAAAATAATTGATGTATTTGTATAGTGCTGATTAAAGGCCGTGGTGCATTATGGGTTATTGGTGATTTGTCTCTACCCTTTGAGGACAGTGACTGTGTAATTCATTGTTTGCTCCTCGCAAATTAGTACAGTTCTGGGGTTATATTAGGTGCTCAGTTCATGTTTAATAATTGATTTATTATATAATGATTCTTTTTCAAAGCAATAGTTTTAAAAATTCAAGAAGCACTAAATTTATTCAGCTTCCTTTAATGAGTATTACAACAAAGGAGGTATAAAAATCCATGTCCAAACCACTTATTAATTTAAATTTTGAGTTTTCTGAATTACCCAATTTGAAGTAATTCTCTTTATAGCTGAAAAATGTATGGTTATATTGAAATATTTGATATAAAAATATGTACTGCAAACAGCATATGACAAATATTTCAATGAGTTGTAGAAATACATAACTTACCAGAAAACCCACATTGCATGAGAAATGTGCAAAACCTTTTGATGTAAAAGTTTTGTTTGTTTTCTTAATATTTTTAAAATATATTTTTATTGGTTTCAGAGAGGAAGAGAGAGAGATAGAAACATCAATGATGAGAGAGAATCATTGATCGGCTGCTTCCTGCACACCCCCCTCTGGGGATCAAGCCTGCAACCTGGGCATGCGCCCTTGGCCAGAATCGAACCTGGGACCCTTCAGTCCTCAGGCCAATGCTTTATTCACTGAACAAAACTGGCTAGGGTTGTTTTCTTAATATTGAGCACCCTTTTCTATAAGTTAGTTTTTCATGGAGAAGTAACTGATTGCATACATTTTGTCTATCCACTAAATAAATTCAAGGCTTAATTTTCTGAATCAGATAATGGCTCACCACTGAGATTTGAATTGTAATGGATCCACTGATAAGGATTTTCTTTGATGGATCCCAAAGTTCGTCAGAATGTTTAATGTCAAGATGTAAAAACCTGTAAGGTGTTTGAATTCCCTCAGTTCCCATCTCACAATTGAGATTGTAAAGTCCACAATTCCCCTCATTTTCCTAATTAAAAAGAATTAAATTTGCATTCAGAATTGTTCAATGATTGTTTTTTTTGTTGTTTTTTTTTGCAGTGATGGTTTATTTCCTGAAATCAAAGTGGCTTTCATAATAATTCTTTAATGTCAGGGTTTAGGGTTGTATAAACTTTGTCGTCTTGTCTGGATTTTCACTGAGAACGACCTTCTCTTGATCGTCTTCTAGATCCTGATTAGGAAGAAAAGAGAACATATAGATAATAAATGTAATGAAATATTAAAGTTTAAAAATATGATATTCTATGTATAACTATATCTATAAAAGACCATATCTTATATAATAAAAGGCTAATATGCAAATTGACTGAACAGCGGAATGACCAGCAGAACAACAGTTCTCTGTGAAGTGCACTGACCACCAGGGGGAAGACACAATACAGGAGCTTCCCCCTCGTGGTAAGTGCACTCCCACAGGGGGAGTACGGCTCAGCCAGAAGCTGGGCTCATGCTGGCAAGCACAGCGGCGGTGGTGGAAGCGTCTCCCACCTCCACAGCAGCACTACGGACGTCTGACTGGCAGCTTAGGCCTAAGTCGCCAGTTGGACATACTCTGAAGGCTCCCAGACTGTGAGAAGGCACAGGCCAGGTTGAGGACCCTCCTCCCCACCCCCCTGCCGAGTGCATGAATTTCAAGCACTGGGCCTCTAGTTTCTTAATATCCTTCATTTATGATGATAAAATCAAGGTTATACTTTGTATAAAGGTATATAAAAATGATAATTTAAAATGGTGATTTTAGTTCTCAAGAAAATTTGAATGAATTTGAAAGTTCAGAAGAAATCCCTGATAAATTTTAATTAAAAATTACATGTACCATTGATTATTTAATTTCGAATGTCTGTATTGGATTAGCTTAAAATCAGATATGACCATAATGCATTTGTAAGACTTGTAACTTCTTTTGACTACCAGTATGTAATTATTTTAGAAATTCCAAATTTATAATTTATTCCAAGTTCCATATGGGGAATCTTTGATTTTTTAATGTATTAGAATGTAAGGTAACCTAAGTGGAAGATTAGAAAGTGCACATAAACATAAAGAATATGGTAGCCCATGGGATGTAAATTATGTATATGTAATCTATACATGATATCAAAATTTTGAACAGTTATATTAACAATCGCCTGTATGTGGACAGTGTTTATACTTCAACTCATATCAAAAAATAACATTTTACAAAGTTCAGATCCTCATTTCTTACTTTTGTTCAGCTCTGATATTTAAGGATTTCTTTCCATATTAACTCTATTTGGGTTTTCCTAAAGGGTTCAATGTATCTAGCACTTTAGATGAGTATAATTACTTTTTCCTTAATATTTGTTATTCTTAGATTGTACTAATAGTGCAGAATATAAACAATTTATCTTCTTGCTATCAAAATACTCTACCCCCATTCGCTAACTGTTCTCCCTAATAGACAACAAAGTCCAATAAAATATATGAAAGCACTCTCCTTTTCTTTTAACAACCCATGTGTTACATATGTACATTATTATAGTTAATACATTTACCTTGAACTCTTTTATTGTCTTGTATCTTCCTCACAGGTGTGTCTAAAATTAAATAGTTGTAGTCAGAAAAACTTTGAAACTATGGCCAGCATCAGACAGAAGACCACAATTAAGCAGAAAAGTATAAAATTTTAAATAAACATCACTTAAATGTGTAGATTTTCTTTTGGAATAGTGAATTTCACAAACATGAGACTTGCATTGGTAATAGACAAAACAGAAACTTATTTTCCATATATCATAATGAATTTTCACCATTTGCAAAATATTTTGTTAAATTGTGGCATTTGGAGCTCTGTATAATGTGCCACTTCAACAAAGAGTACATAACTTACATGATTTTTTCACCCTTTTTGTAAAAAGCATGACTTTGATGAAGGGATGTTTCACATTATACAAAGTTTAGCAGAAGTATCGTCCCAGGGATGTCCACTCATTTCTATTTATAATGTTATCAGACTTTTGCCTCTGTGAATTATCATTGTAAATTAAGTCATGATTACCTTTTAGTACATGAGGACAACAAAATATCATTTGGCTAATAACTCTAGAAATAAAATAAAAAATAAGCAATTCAGAAAATGTGTGCCTACATATCTCCAGTTTACTTCTAATCCTGAAAGACCATTAAAAAAAACAACTAGTTAAAAATAATAAGAAAATTATTTTTAAGAATTTTAAGTGTCTATAACTGTGTAGTTTTGGGCTTTTTCAGTTTAAAATATTTCTAAATTCCCTTATTTTTCTTGTACTTCATCAATAAGCTCTACCTGGAAGGCCTAATGTCTTGTTTTCTTTCAATCTTTAATTTCTTTATTGATTAAGGTATTACATATGTGACCTAATTCCCCCCATAATCCCCCCCACTCATGCCCTTGCCCCCCTGTTGTCTGTGTCCATTGGTTGGGCATATATGTATGTATACAAGTTCTTAGGTTGAAGATAGTATTGATGTAGTCCCATTTGTTTATTTTCTCTTTAGTTTCCATTGCCCTAGGAGCAGTATCAGTGAAGAGATTGTTTCGACATATGTTTGCAATTTCCTGCCTGTGGATTCCTCTAGTATTTTTATGGTTTCCTGTCTTACGTTTAAGTCTTTTACCCATTTTGAGTTTATTTTTGTGTATGGTGTGAGTTGGTGGTCTAGTTTCATCCTTTTGCATGTATCTGTCCAATTTTCCCAACACCATTTATTGAAAAGACTGTCTTGACTCCATTATATGCTCTTGCCTCCTCTGTCGAATATTAATTGGGCATAGTGGTTTGGGTACTGTTCTCCACAGTGGCTGCACCTGTCTGCATTCCCACCAACAGTGCAAAAGGGTACCTTTTTCTCCACATCCTCTCCAACACTTGTTGTTTGTTGATTCGTTGATGATAGCCATTCTGACAGGTGTGAGATGATACCGTGTTGTTGTTTTAATTTGCATCGCTTGTATAATTAGTGACTTTGAGCATGTTTTCATATGTCTTTCGGCCTTCTGTATGTCCTCTTTCGAAAAGTGTCTATTTAGGTCTGTCGCCCTTTTTTGATTGGATTGTATATCTTCCTTTTATTAAGTTGTATGAGTTCCCTGTAAATGCTGGAGATTAAACTCTTATTGGTGATAACATTAGCAAATATGTTCTCCCATGCAGTGGGCTTTCTTGTTCTTTTGTTGATGGTTTCCTT